GCCATCATGACCTAAACTGATCCACCTGACTGTTGTGAACGACACACGTTTTTCTGGCCTTTACCTTTCATCCTGGCTGTCATTAAAAACCATTACCTGCCAGGCAACTCCAGAACTTAGCGTCTTCGCCCAGCACAGAAATGGGTTCTATCTTGCACAAAGCACTTCATATTGTCTCTGTGAAAAGGTGCAACTCTCTGAGCGAAAGAAGAAAAAGGGGAAAAAAAGGCTTTTTGACCTGTCAGAGAGAAACGGTGAAGCTGCTTTCTGACATGTGCACTTTCAATCTGACATGAAGCTTTTGTATACAACACAGATTTCAGGAGAAGAAAAACACAGCTCAGAGGGAATAAAAGAAAAGGACATTTCTATTGGCAGCTCTTATGGTTTTGACATAGATATTCTCTGTTCGTACAGCAGTCTGGGATGGTGTAGAATCTTCTTTGGAGTATTTCGTGCTCTGATCCTAACCAATGACAGGCATCATTTTGATATGAGAGATACTTTGACATCTTTACTGTGATAATCCTTAATGTTTGTTAGCAGAAAGGCTGCTTTCTCTTGGGCAACATGCCCAGCTGTGCTTCCTGGAGCTACAGTCATGTTTAACGTATTCTGTTAAAAACAAACCACTCTAGTGCTGCTTACTTTTAAGTTTTTTCCAAGATAGTTGCTTTTCCATCAATTATGGTCATACAAAGCCCTCAAAGATTATTTTTTCTTCTTCTAAATCAAATTTCTCTAATTAGATAGATATTTAATCTGTCTTTACAGCTGTGCCCGTTTTTTATTTTGATACAATGTTCCATGCTATGAATTTTTATACCACTTCTAGTTCTGAAACAAAGCAGCATCAAAAACACTCAGTTATTACCTGGGACAATAGATTCTTTTCAGAGATAATTTTGGAGGAACAATATTTACAGTTGAGTCCTAGGAGGCATCCAAATTCCTGCTGCAGAGTGCAGGGATTCAAGTTTTAATTAATCCTAATGCAGGCATCCCTGCAGGAACACACACATATTAATACTCCCACATTCAAACGCACCGCCACAAAACACACACAAACACAGAATACAGAGCTAACATTTAGGGCTCAAAACCAAAAAGTGGAAAGCTCAAACTCTGCATAGACTCATCTCTAAGAAGGTTTGTCAAAATAAAAATGTCTATGAGCTCAGATAAATCTGATATGATGATGATGACGACACGGACATTTACATCATTCTTAACGTGTTTTTCCTTCTCCAGCACCAAATCTTCCATTAAACTACACAACTATTTGTATCCATAGCTAATGTAGGATTCAGGATTATGTGAATGTCTCTACATGGCAGAGTGCTTGTTCAGTCTTCAGTGTTTGGAGCTGATTTAGCAGCATTCACTACGTCACAGACTTCATACTTCCACAAATTTAGGTTTACTTACTAGTTCGGCACTGATAAAAAAATCTTAAGTCACACATATTTTCCTTTCAAACAGATGGACAATATTTAAATTTTCAAGGTGTCATTGATTATGAGTAAGTATTTAACTGCCAGAGCTGGGGAATAAATTTAAGAGCAGTATGTTGTTATAAAACTTATCAAAACAAGAAAATGTATTGAAAAATCATAATATATTATCTTTCAAACAAAAAAGGTTTCAATAGCAAAGCAATACCTTTCGGAAACAATTCGACAGTTGATTGCACTTTTTATTGCCTGTTGTATTGAAAACTTTCTCGTTATAATGAATACAAAATAGCATAGCAAAAATGTTCTTGCTTTTAAGAGTTTTGTGTCTCGCTACAATGACAAACTTGACATAATCATTTGGTTTTAAGGAGAATTCTTTCTGAGAAAGGGATACCACTCCTGAACGGATACTGACTAGAAAGGAATTTTCTATAGACGACGCTGAAATTTAAAATTCAGGGTAGCCAATTACTGGTAGTGTTTATTTTATTTTGTTTTAATTATTATTCTCTTTCTTATATTGTTCTCCATTTTTTAGACTTGTGATCAAATATTTTCCATATAATTTGCAGTGTGTTTTTATCCCATCCCAGGAGCATTAACATGAGATCCATGATCTCAGTGTTTAGTGTCTCTAAAAAATGAACACTGTTTTATGTTTAAAGTTTAAATATGTAAATTTTATTTTTAATGGGGTTAATTTGAACTGAGCCCATTAAACTCTAAAAGCAAATGTATTTATAATTGACTTTATTTATAACTGGCTGAAGATCTGATGTAATGTGTGACAGATTTATAACTGTTTGATTTCTTGAGGCTTATTTGTCAGATTAAAAGTACCTTTTGAAAATAACAACCTTTACAGCTTCAGTAGTTACATTTTTGTTCAAACTGTTTTTATGTCCTGACAGTAGAATATAATACAGAACATAAGCTCCTCAGAGGTCCTACTGCCATCTGTAGAAATGTACCACTCCCTCTCAGAAACAACCAATCAGAGCCTGGAGGAAGGTCTTAACACTTTCAATAAAGCCTGAGTACACATTGCCCACAGTCTTCCCACTTTCACTGCATACCATATTGCCGTTGAACTGCAGCTGTGCTACTTAGCAGAAACACAACGCAACGTTACAGAAAAGCTGCCAAATTCATGAGTTCCCAGTCAGCTTTGCTTGTTCAAACTTTCAATCAAAGTTCATTCCACTGTGTTCAACATTCTTTTCATTAAGTCAACATTTCCTCAATTTTCATTGTTTGATCTAATATTCTCATCCTAAATATCTGTTTTGATTAGGTTGAGTAATAAAACAGCAATTACCAGAAGTAAAGGCCTGAAAACATCAGCCTGGATGTGATTAGTTTATATAATGTGTGTCTTGGTCATTTACAATATAATTTAATTAATATGAATGTTTATGACCAATAATGTGCTATTAAATTCTCAAAAGTGCAAGTGTCCAATTAGACTTAAAATAGTAGATATATTTTACTGCTTCCTTCTAACTGTCAGAAATCCTCATTCAGTCACTGCAAGTGAATTATTGTTGCAATATATTTAGGAATACTTTCTATGACACAGATGAATCATCTGCAGCTGTCACATACATTATTTCAAAACTTTAAAGGCACAAGATATCAGATTAGGAAACTGGACAAAGCAAAGGAAACAGATCATTTCTGCAACTGCTTCTAAAGTTGTCAGTAAAAAGTTGATATTTTAGCTTTGAAAATATTCCAGATCAGCTTCTTTGAAATGAAAAAAGGACACCATGCATTTGTCAGCAAATGATTTCTTGGAAAAAAATCTAAATATCTTCTAAATAAAAGAATGAGTATTAAAACAGGTGAGTAGAGAAGTGAAATCAAGCCCCCCATGATCGTGATTCCAGCTCACAGCCTCATTGATCCCTTAACCTGCAGTTAAAAGTGTTTGCCAAATTGAGAGCATTTCTGTTTCTGATTGGCTGTGAATGAATGCTAATGCACATCCACACATAAATGACGCTCTGTGCACGTGGCCTCGCTTCCTCAACTGATGAATGCTTTTTTGATCTTTGCTGTGAATATATACATTTACAAGGAGTTGTGTTTGAGCACAGGTTTATGAACCTGTAATGCAGTAAATTAATTCAAACACATAGCAGGTTGGCTTTTCAGCAGGTTGTGATGTGAAATGAATAATTTTCCTCCTGCCGACGCTGCCTTCAATCAGCTGTTTTTTGGCCATAAAACTAATGTAGCGGTCACGCAGAGTGACTGCCCTCTAATATGGAAATTCATAATCCAAAATGGCACAGGGGGACCATAAAAACCAAGCATTCCCTCTGGTTCTTTCTCACTCCTTTTCTTGCTTCCCCCTCACATCATCCATCCCTGTCTCTTCTTGGATAGCTGAACGGAGAAACACAAATGTGTTGGAGATGATCCTGATAGACAAAACGGTTGTTCCGGACAGATAATCAAGAAGTTTTAATGGGTTTATTTCCAATAAGACAAAATGGTGAGGTTTAAAACACTGTTAATGCGAATTTGGCTTTCAGTGTTAAAATACTGGGCTGTGCAATGTACCAGAACCCACACTCTGACTGTCAGTGAAACTTTTAGCAAGGATAATGAGCACAGGAAGATCTACTGTACTTGAAGGTGATATGACCACAGTTTGACTTACAGAATTTAACTCAAATGACTTCAAATCTGTTACGTTTAAAACACTAGGTTGGCTAGCACACATTTGACATGATTAGCAAGGCCTGCTGCTGAAAGTAGAACATAAATCAGGAGTACAAAACAACTGACGATGGTGCTTTTATGAAGGAAAACAGGTAAGTCAAAGTCAACACTTTGACGACCTATCAAAGGTAAACCATCAACCAGAAAGATTTTATAATGTAGCATAAAACCTGGCCGATAATACAATAGCAGTATGTTTTGCAAAATAAGTTTTCCTAGGTAGACATATGTGGAAGGGTCAATATAGATGTTGCATGTTATTGTTTATGTCCACAATTTTGCACATGGACACAACGCTGGAGGGCAAAAAAAAATCTATTCTTTTAATTACCATCCATGGCCGCATTGCTGCAGTAGAACAATTACGTTAACTAAATGAAACGTGGATTTGTAGGTATTACTTATTTAGTGTGGTGCGCCACAGCAAAGGCGTTGGTGTATAGGTTGCTGAATTCTGCAGCACATCTACATGCTAAGGTTGTAAAAGTCAAGCTAGCATAACTGCTCTACTTAACTTTCCTTTCCCATTTCTTTTTAAACAAAAAGTTTTCCTGACCTGTGAAAAAGGACACACTTAGATCCTGTTGTCTAGTTGTCATAGTGTTGACAATTAGCAGCAAAGAACTGTGTTTTATATATCACACCTTATTTATGATTTAGCCCATTATGTTGTTATCTTGAGAGCTAAAACCAATGGCAGTCATTGTCGGCAAGGCGTTGCCTGTGAGACGTGACATTGCAATTTGCAATTTGTTTTCATTTCTGTGAAAACAATCATACATGATCAGACACAAAGACACAACATTTCTTTACCCAATATGGCCCAGTTGGGATGAGCCCTCCTGTTTCTACTGGGATCCTGAAGCTCCATGGAGGGGCTCCCTCTGCCCAGAGTAGCCTCTCTTGCCTGGGACACTCTGCCCTGGGCAGGCCCCCTGCCTGGAGCTGAAGTGGCAGAGCTGCTCCATGGTTCCCCACCCTCTGTAAAAGATGTGCCGACTGAAATTCACCAGGGCTCACAGGGAGGTCAAGACACCAAAAGAGCAAAAGGGGAAACCCACAGGTTAAAAGGGTTCAGGGGAAGACCTGGCAGCAGAACAGGAACAGAAAGCAGTTCGTCAGGAGGAGAGAGTAACATTCTGGGTTTCTGTTTTTTCTATGAAAGTAAAAGGTGGCAGAAGGTGAACAAAGGAGCATGATGTGTTACGGTTTAAGGTTACACAGCAGGAAGAAATTGAAGACACGCCACATAGGAGAGGTGAAGAAAGCGGAACTTTAGCCTGTAAAACCACCAAGGAGTATAGTTCTTTCTCGCAGCAGACATTATGAGGAGAAGATTTCAGCGCTTTAATCAACCACAATCACAGCAGCTCCGTACCTGCTCAGAGCAGTCTTCCACAACCGACACAACGGCAAATTAGGAGCTGCAGCTAAAGAACAATCTGAGCACTGCTCGGCTAAATTGCCAATTGACAAACTGCACAATTCGAGTGAAGATAGATCACTGTTTAGACCACTTATGTGTGAAGAGTACACAAAAGCAAATCGATTGAACAGTCATGCTAGCTAGCTTGTTTCAACAAGCAGGAGAACAGAAGCTCTTGAAGTTGCTCTGCAAATTGGGGGCGTGTAGTTATAGGTTTTTAGCTAAAGCAATAGTTATAGATGAAACAAATGCAAATTTATGTATCAATGCCCTTATTTAACATCTTTGAGAGCAAAAAGGCTGGATCAGAACAAAAGCTCATCTCAGCTTCTTCTTTTTTTTGAGTATTAGTGAGAGTGTGTGTTGAGAACTTATTTGTTGTTCAGGCATGCTACTGCTCCATGATCAAAAGATGAGGGACAGAATGGGAGAGAAGAGGGAGAAAAGCTATGGGTTAGAAATGCTGCTTTTATCAGGGCCGCTGAGGCTGTTGACCCAACATGAGCACATGGAACAGCTTGTGAATTCAATTATAATCAATCTAATCGCAAAAAAAGTGCTGGGAAAGAGGGGACATTATATACAGAAAAACATCTGGCAGCAGTGCAAATGTTTTTTATTTGATTTGCACTTATCCCCTTTTCATTTAGATATAATGCAAATACCTGAGGTTTAGTATTGACTGATACTGACAGAAAAACAACTGACCTGACTTAAAACATTTGTTTTTTATTCTAACACAGACATAAATGCACTGAATTACAAAAACGTTTGGTAGCTCTGTGACAGCACACCAACAGCTTCACAATCTTGGTCAAACTTGTAAAAACAACAGAGGAAATAGTAGCTCAGAGCAGTTTACCACAGTCCATAAAGGATTGTGGTAAACTGTCCTACATGGACTCATCACCGCAGACCGGTCCAGTTGTAACATGGCAAAATGTGAAATACCTGTACATGCCACAATGAATTGACTAAAGCTTAAAAATCAAGAAAAGATCTGGGATTAACCTTCACCTCATGCATAGGTGTGAAATTTCACTACCAGAAAAATGTTTATTCTTCTCGGAATAAAGAGTTTAGCTGTGGCATTCTAGGAGTTAGAATGTCACAGCTGCCAGCGGATAAACACCTGCAGCTTGACATAATGCTTCAATCAAGACTGAGATGTGGAACTGCAGGCAAAGACAGTTTTCTTTAGTATGTGACAGCAGCTGGAAAAAGAGCTTCTTTGAAAAAGTTTACGAAATTATGCCAAAGGAAACACTGGAAATCAGTTATCTATAATCTATCAAAACTAACAAAAATCATGGCTGAATAGGACAATAAATTCCAGAGCTCAACAAATTGAGAGCACATTGTAAACTAATATTTGCCTTAAACAAGCCTCTGTAACAACTGTTTTTTGCTGATGTACAGATGAGGGAAATGTAAAGTATTTAAGATCAAAAGTGCTAGAGCAGGCTCTTATTTCCATAATGTTCCTCAAAGGTCATTGAGTCTAAGCTTTCCGAAGCATTTCAATAAAATGTTCACAGGAAATTCCATTCAAAAAAGTGCAAAACTGGTTCGATTAAATAGTACTGCTGATAACGTTTCGGGGCAAACAGTGATTTTGTTTTATTTTTTTTGTTTTGTATAACTACAAGCAACGAGGAAATTCCACTCAGATGAATGAAATTGTATGAAAGTATCTGAGCACAGAATAGTTAGCTTTGGTTAAGAACGTTATTAAGAAACTGCAGGACAAACGAAACTCCCTAAAGGCTCGACCAGGGCTGGTTAATCCTGTGATTTGACTGTGTGCAGCTGAGAGCTTAAAACAAAAGATTAACACAAAGCCATGGCTTTATGGCACCTGCCAGTGGTCATTCACCACATTGTGTTTTGCTCTGCCAATTTAGCATGGCACATTCTGAAAGGAAACTGTCAATCCCACATCCAGAACAGAAAATGACTAGAGATCTCCTTTGCTTTTGACTTGTTCAGTACCTGTATCTTTATTAAGTTTTACTTTATACTCAACAAGGCCAGGAATCTTCGTGTCAACTGATTTTAAAAGTAGGAAAACAATTACACAAGTAGTTTCTCGTGCAAGGTCATCTTGGGATGGCACAAACAAAAAATCTCTACAATGTCAATCCCATCATTGACATATGGCAAGTATTTTCTACTTTCTGGGTTGTAGAAAAAACATTTGGTCATAATGCATGGAGTTTGAACATACTTTTGATTAATTTGGTTTCAATAACATGTCTATACTTGGTAATGGTGGTTTTCCATGCCCCTGTTTCAACTCACCTCTAAGCAATGCCTTAACATCTTGTCAAGCTCAAACAAAGCCCATTATTCACAACACACTTAAAATAAATAGTTTGTTTTAATAGGAACAAAATATCCATCCATCTTGAACCAACCACTGTTTTGTCCTTATTCAAGATTGGGCCACAAAGTTAAAGCCGAGTTCACTCAGCAAGATGTTCATGATTTTTGTCCCCATTTATCCCTTAACAATCTTAAGGATGCCCCAGGTATCAAGATGACCCTTTCAATAATCTTAAACAATATTCCTGCCATGATAACAATTTGTTAAATATGATCTTTAGCCAATGGAAAATCACTGTGATGGTAGCACTGGAGGGAATTCAAATTAAGAAAACAAAACAACTGCCATAATGCACCAGAAAATCCATTGGACATCAGAGATCTCTTTTTTTTTTTTTTTTTTTTTCACTGTTAAAAATAGTCTGCGAGTTATGGCCATTGCTTCTTCTCAGTCGACTATGTTTATTTACTCTGAATACACTTTTGGTCTCAAGATTTTGTGAGATGTCCCATCTGACATCTGAATGTTGGTGAGTGAAATTGGTCCGTGGTGTGGTATGTTAAATGTGCTGTAAAACACCTACAGGTTTATTCTTTTTTTTTTTTTAATCAACATGTATAGGGTCTCTCAGGTTTTGAAAATCAGTCAACAATTTTACAACTTTGCTATCTCCCAGCCATAACAGGTGCAAATGGGACACATTTCTCTCACCAGAGACATTACCCAGCTCATTCCCAGGGAAGCCCAGGTGTTCCTAGGTCAAAATGGATACACAGTCTCTCCAGTGACCTGTGGGACGGCACAACCTGTACATAATGTTTCAATCAAGACTGAGATATGATGTTGGTGTAGCATCTCAACAGATGCCTGAATTGTTTTTACATACAAACAAGTGATTTCCACAAAATCCACCCACTTACATATTGTCTGATACAACAGTCAGCGTATGGGCAAGATAAGTACCAGTGAGACATCAGCTTTAAAAAGGCAATGATTGGTTTTTATGCTTGATTACACGCGAAATATCAGGGAAAAAGAACTTAAAACTCATATCTTTCTTATACCTTGAAGATATCGCTGTACACTTTTACAACACAGTCCTTACCTGAGTCTCTCTGCACTGCCTTAGCATCTAATTCATACATAACCATCTGTGTAGGAGTCTGCAGCTGTATGTGAAAAGTTAATAGTCCATATCTGCATGCAGTATAAAAAGAATAAGCGGGAGGCAGACCTGGCACAAGCTCCCTCCTGCTGATTTCAGCTGTCAGCCACATTTATTAAGTATGATGAATCACCCCTCGACTTCACATCCAATCTAAGGCCTCTCAGAGGGACTCAAACCTGGTCACCTTTTTTACTAAATGATTTTCTTGGCTCATGGTGTGGCAAGTTGGCGTTTGGACTGACAACCTGTTGGTGCGAGCTGCTGGTAAAAATCAAAGTGCCAACAGGCCCACAGCTGGATGTGTCATTTTTGAAACAGCGTGGACAATTAAGTGGCCAGACGACATGCAGACCCCATTGGGAACAGGAATTTTAAAAGGTTGGTTGGGAGTTTTTCAATGAGTCATTGAATATAAGTGTTCTTTTGACCTTCCCTAAAACGGATCTCTACCTGGGCCATTGAAGCTAACAGTTATTGACGTACTATAAAAACTACCTTTCACAATGCAGAGTTTTAACTTTCTTTACAACCTTTCCTTTTAGGTCTTACATATATTTTACACAATTATGTATTCAAATATGACAGTAGTCTCTTTGTGAAAAATAAGTCTGTACAGAGATGAGACAAGGTCAGAGAAAACAAAAACCCCAAACAGGACAAGTGTTTCTCTCAGAGTGTAACTTGGTCTGGAATGGTACACCCTTAGGATAGAACCTTTGATCTTGTCCTGAACGGAAGAGCTTGAGCAGAAAACAATAAGAGGAGCAGCAGAGGAGGGGAAAAACTGAGCAATCGATAAATTCTTGTAGGCAAGGCCTCAAGTTTCCAATCTAACACAGTGCTTTATTGATTAGGCTTCAAGGCGCAGGGACAGTAATGTCAGCACTGGATCTGGGAGTCTTTAACAAAGCAAACTAATGAGGAGGAGGTTGGATAGTTGAGTCTGTGAGGCCATACAAAATACACAGAAATGAAAAATCAGAACTAAAATCTGAACTAGTCAGACTAAAGATTCCTTGCGGTGGTAAAATTATGTTTACATAAGGCCTAATGTTTACGTA